TACATTCTTTAGGAGGTGTGTGTGGGTACTTGTTGATTTTCATACGTCGCAACACATAATTCTTTACAAAGTTCCAATCCAGGCACATCATCACGGTGTAAAGGCAGCAATGTATGAGACAGTGCCGGCACTCGGCGGGGCTTTGGAGTACGCTACTATCTAGTAAACTTTTAGCACATCAGGTGTAAGAAGTAATGAAAGCAGTCGAGGACTAACTTTGTAAACTATGACAGTTTGGCGACCCGTATCGCCTGGATGTGTTTGGCAAGGGTTTTCCAAGGCGCGTCACGCACCAGCAATAGCCCGTGCTTCGATGGCACTGAAACAAAATTCTGTGTGGTATTAGCTAGTTGAACAGTGAAGCACAGTATGGGTTATATGTTTTCACGTTAAGTTGTTGAGAGTTCACTGGATGAGCGTAACAAAATACACAGAATTAATTTGAACTAGTCTCGGTATGTTTCTGGCTGATTCCCAGCAACAGTCAAGTTTCAGATTCATGGATTGTTTCGTTCTGACTGTATCACGACACTGCACCTGAGAATGGCGTCATGCAAGTCAAGGCACAGTCTCATACAGCCCTCAATACAAATTGAGATCCGCAAGTTTGTAATTTGCAGCTTACTTCATTCCGAAATTATAACACTGGCCTGAACGTAAGCGTTATTCCAAACAGAAAGCTTAAAATCTAATTTCAGTAATTCAAACTAATTTGGGTTGTAAAGCCAACTTTTTAGGTCTTTTCGTTTTGAAATCATAAAATTGCTTTAAAATTGACTTTAGGTCAAAAATGCGAAGGTCGGTTTCATTAAAAGCGCCAGTACAATCGAGTTTTTAGCTACGTTTGTCCTCGGCTTATAAAATTAATCTAAATAAAAATCTGAGATTATAAATAAGCAGCAGCAGAAGTTGCGCGTTGATTTCAGGACTTACGGTTTCGCAATGAATTTTTTCTCAAAATTTTACGTGAATTTAGAATTAAATTTTACGTGAATTTAGAAAATAGGGCAGAGAATGAGCAATGAAATCTAATTTCAGGCTTGCACACGGTCAAGAATTTTCTCAGCAGACTTCTTAGCTTTCATAACATTGAAGTTAAAAGACGCACATACGTATACATGCGTACATGCACGTATTGAGATGCACAGACATGTTATCGCCATGATAAGTATGTGCTGCATCAGCGATGTAAAAATTTATGAGTTCCTCTCAGATGACTCTGCACTGGCTATACGCAGGGTCCATAATTAGTTTTACAAGAAAAATTCAACCCAGGCTTGCTGGTGCGATCATGCGTTTTTGCACCAAATTTAAATTATGCTAACTGCATGAATAGTTGCTGCTTCACACCTACCTTGTGCGCTCAATACCGTAAATAATCGTCAATTTTGCATAAATAAAAATAGCAATTTCCGTTTAGCGGTCATTTTTTGGAAATGACCCAGTTGTTCAACGAGCAGTTTCTCCGCCAAAAAATTCAAGTACCCGTACATGAGAACTACGCGTACTTGGAGGCTGAATTTGAAACCTTTAAGTTGCATTTGGACAGGAAATATTCTCCTAGAATTTCAGCTTTCCAGCTTTCCTGGATCCCGAATTAGCAACTTTCCCGCCAAAACTTTCACGGGACCTGAAGGCTGAGTTTGAAATCTTTAGGTTGTACGCGGGCAGGCTTGGAAAATCCTTCTAAAATCTCAGCCTTCCAGCTTTCCTGGATCTTAGCAATTCGTTCCGCCAAAAATTTTCATGGCGCCTTGCTTGAGAACCACGCATGCCCGGTGGCTGAATTTGATAAGTTTAGTCGCGCATGGACGGGGAACATCCCCTTAAAATTTCGGCCTCTCAGCTTTCCTGGTTCCTGAGTTAGTCATTTTCCCGCCAAAAGCTTTTACGGAGCCGTACATGAGAATCATATAAGTCTAAGGGCTGAATTTGATGACTTTAAGTTGTACACAAGCTGGGAATATCCTCTTAGAATTTCTGCCTCCTAGCTTTCCTGGTTCTCAAGTTAGCCATTTTCCCGCCAGGAACCCTCACAGAGCCGCAGGCAGGAACCACGCACACCTGGGAGCTAAATTTGAAACTTCTGAGTTCTATGTAGACAGGGGACATAACTTCAGAATTTCAGCCTTCTCGTCCTCGAGTTAACAGTTTCCTCACCAAAATTTTCACACTCTCGCGCTGACCCCAAGCGCACGTGAGAGTAGGTACCACGATCCTGGGGGATACTTGGGCGGGGAACCAACTGACATAATTTTGGAGCGGGAGTCTGCTTGGTTGCCGAATTTAAATACCTGTACAGAGGAACACATACATAGACACAGACGTAGACACACACACACACACACACACACAGGATCGTGGCAATATGCGTTTTTGCAATTTGCATACATGGAAAAACGCATAAGAAAGCCAAATTTCTTACAGAGATGCGAAAGAAAATAATTTACGCAAACAAACAAGCCTGTACGGTGGCATAAGATCCATCTGTAAGGTTGCATTCCGGCACAAAAATTTCGCTACTATTGCTTTTTTGTGATGCAAGCTTCAGCTGGTATGTTCGCTCCAGCTGACATCGCAAATTCTCTGCAATATTTCGCATTTTATTCACAGTTGCGCGCAGTCCACTACGGCACTTAATAAACTGTTACCACCAAAATATTCGATGTGAGTGACGCAACCAGTGAATAACTTAATGACAGTGTACGAAAAAGGGGAGGAAATCCTCTTTCCTTTCCGTCAAGGGGATTCAAAATCACTTGCGTAGGAAAAAAAGGCTGCAAAACCGAACCTGACACATGTCACATATCAGGGTTGCAGTTAATAGGGAGCGGGCCCGAAATTTAGCTAAAGGAATAAAAAATTTATCTTACCGAAAATTACGTTAAAATGTAATTGCCTGATCCAAAATGCTAAGCACCATGTAGAGCTAAAAAATAGTGCTAATAGTGCTAAAAAGCACCGACAAATGAAGACAAAAATAAGAAGTGCCGAGGGCGGCCAAACCCCGCTCTTTCAGACTCATTTTTCAGTATTTCCTTAAAACTACCCTGTTAAGCAAACTGAAAAGCAGCAATAACAAAGAATCACTTTTTAAGGCATCATTTTGATCAATTAGATGAAAACAAAGAATTCATCCATAGTTCACTTCCCATGAGAGGCCGATGCAGTCGGAAATACCCGAAGTAACAGAATATAACCACCGATGAAGCCGTCAGCAGCTCTTTCTTGTCGAGTCTTATACATTCCTGGCATGAGTCAATACCAATTCACCGTCGAAACGAATCAAGAAATCACAGAAGGGATTAACTGCCCTTAGCGAAGTGGGCCTCAAGCTTTATTACGAGAGTAGCATTATTCACCCCTGAACAGTCCACACTAACAATCCATTAAGACCGGACAGTGCTGAGCTCTCAACATGCTGCATCTTGAGACTAGCTCTTCATAACTTAGTTCACTCAAGCAACAACGAAATTAGAACAACTTAGAAACCCTTTGTTCTGTATCTGGCACCTCATTACACCATCGAAGTTTCCTCTGCACAGATCCGTTCCGGGGACTTAATGAGGAACTAGAAATTCATGCATGGAAGGGTTTGAAAGGTAATTATTGGATTCGGTTCGTTAGAAACCAAAATTTTAGTCGGATTTTTCTAGCTTTCATTAGAGCTCTCACAGTACGTTCCTTAATTTAAAACACTGGAAATGAAACATTTTGAAAATATCGAGGAGTTGTGGACTAAGGTGTTAAGAAAAGTAGTCTTGCTAACGGCTCTGAGATAATGCTCATGATGGAATTATCTCAGAGCCATTAGCACGACTAATTTTTTTTTAATGAGTGAGACATTTTTTCAAACATTTCACAGTGCCC